GTATGGCGGCATCAGCCGAACTGGGCGGCGCAATCTGATGCGAGGTGCCCATCACCCAGTCGGTCAGGTATTCCACCAGCTTGTTCCGAAACTTCATCTCCTGGCGAAAAGCGAGATCGTCGCGACGCTTCATCATCACTTCGACCAGTTGGCACAGTTTTGTCTTTATTCTGATGGCGTATACGGTCATGTCCAGGTGGCGAACATAGCGTACAATTCCCAACATCATGCCCTCGATACTTGTAACTCCCAAATGTTCCGACGGCGAGGGCTGCTCGTTATTGGGATCCTTACTGGCCTTGGGATCCAGAATAGACTTCATTATGTAAATGGTGTGCTCGATGAACTGCGTGTTGATGTCGGTCACATTGACGTTCACCTGGCCCTGTTGGTCGAAAAACTTTTCCACGATGGCCCTAACCTGGTCGAAGAGTATGGGATACAATTGAGTGGACATTTCCTCGCCCACTAGTTCCTTCACATTCTTCTGGATGTTCAGGCCGATTTTCTCGTTGCTGCAGACCAGAAGTCGCAATAGTTGGCCAACGAATCTAGATTTAAGAACTTGGTTAAAGAAGTCAAGAAATAAAAGTAAATCTTAATCTTACTGTGTTACTGGACAGTAGCTGACATCTTGAGGCGGTGCTGGTGGGAGTGTGGAGAGCGAAACCGTACTAGGATGCAGTGAACCATGACCGGAACTCGTGGAACTGGAGTACAGAGAGTTTTGAGCTAGAGATCCCAAAGAGGCGTTGTTCTGCGATTGCTGTAGCAGCATTTGACGGCTACTGCTGCGTTTGTGTAGACAGACGCCGCCCAGAGCCAAAAGAAACCAAGTCATGTTGGCCCATTCGTTGATCTGCTCCTCCAGGTCATGCTCTGAGCTCTGGTGACTCGCTCGTCGCTTTCCCATGCCACGATGGAAGACCTCCGCCTGGCCATCTTCACCCTTGCTTTTGGGATATGTTTGCAAAACCTTGCTGGACACTTCCCAATTGCGAAATGTCTCCTCCCAAGCCGGTTGCACACCGTGGACACAATGCTCAATCTTCCGCAATAGGGTCATAATGCGCTTTTGAAGCGTAAGGCGGCTCAGCACATTGCCATGGCTGTTGTCAAAGAAACAAATGCGAGAGTCCGTTGCAGCTAAAATGGAACAATTTAAATTAAATACAGGTAAAGTAGATGTAATTAAAAAACTCACATGTGGAGAGCTGAGCTAGCTCTTGGTAAATGTGATAATTCGGCATAATGAAGCCGACTGTCAGCTCGTCGGAACTGCAGCAGATCTCTGCCTCTTCACATAGCAATCCGAAACAGGACAGCGAAGTAAGCACCGCATCTAAATCGACGCTCCACAGGTACATAAAGAAGACCACCTCCATCTTGATGTGAGCTTGTTTGCAAATGGCAATCTGACTGCCCACATGGGCGTAATCCTTGTGCCGCTGCAGAAACGTATTTCGGCAGATTAGGATCTCGCGCAGCCACTTTAACACATCCGTGTAGTTGGCTATTTGGTGCTGAATGAGCTTTTGCGAGATGGAAAACAACACCTGCGAACTGACGTCCCAGAAGGTGTTGATGGGAGCCTCTGGATTCCAAACCTCAATCTTTTCTGGGGCGTGCAGAGCGAGCAGCGCCTCCATAGCCTCCTGCGCAACATCCGGCATAGTAGTTTGGTGCACCAAACTAACCAGGCCATTGATCAGCTCCAACGTCGAGCTCTGCACTTCGTGGGCCACTTTTCCCTGGGTCTGCAATATAATATGCATTTTATAATTGAAAGGGATAAAGAAAATATTAACTCACATTCAACAAAAGCGTGGGATCAGCATGGATCAGTCGCACAAGCAGCAGCAATAGCATTTTATGGGCGGGACCCTCTTCAGCCCGGGTCAAACCTTTTTGGGTGTCCTTCGATTTGAGCGTCAGAGATGTTATATAGCGCAGTGGGGTATGGGCTATATAGCCCTGAGTGGCTTTGTTGAGAGTATCCGTAAACAGAGCCCTTAACTCGGCGGAGCGGTAATGAACCACATCTGTTTGTGGCCACCAGGACAATCTGGGTTGGTTGACAATCCGGAAAGGGTTCTTGTTTTGCAGGCGAAAGTCCACATATATGTGTGCCAGCCTAATCGATCAAGTAATTTAAGATTGAGTCATTGAATTACTTGTATTAATTACCTCAGAAGAGAGCAAACTATGACGAAGTGATAAGCCTGCGGCGATGATAGATTAAGGCAAACTTTTAGCGCCTCGATGTTGTGGGGATTTATTCGGAAGCAGGAAACCCAGCAGTCAATCATCAGCTCGATATCCGCGAAGTTATACCCCTGGCCGCGTGAGAAGGGCTTGGCTGGATTGAAGAGAAGCGCTTTGAGATCGTTTATGAAGAACTGCACCAGCTTGAAGACCACGTTGTTGGAGTCGGTGTTGTTAATGTAGGTGGATGCCTTGCAGAGCTTCACACAGGCAATGGCCGAGGATTCGGTGACCTGTTTGGAGGGAGAGTGCTGGCCTAGGCCCCGTTTGATGCTCTCGATGAACTGCTTGGCCGAGAAGTCCTTGTCCCGGGAAGTGGATTGACCCGATTTGGAGGCAACCTTTTCCTTATCCTTTTCTTTTTCCTTCTCCGACTGTTGCAGTTCGTTGACGACGGCCTCGAGGCAAGAGGGATTTAGTATTAGCAGGAGCATTTGCAGCGGCCAGACAAGGGTCTTGCTTTTCTTATTCTCGGTTTTGAAGTACTCCACAAAGTCCATCAGGGGTTCCCAGCAGCTAAGGGTATACAAATCTATAATATGGGCACTTAAATACTTTTAATTTAAGACCTACGTGGATATATCTCTATTGGTGCCTCGTTGCAGGTCCTGGAACTCCTGTGGATGGTACTCAATCCAGTTCCAGATAGCCTTCTCTAGTGAGTAAAGCAAGATCAAAGGAGGTGCACGCTTTGAGCGAAACTTTGTGATGGTTTCTAAAAAATATGAGCATTTAAATAACCTTCAGTGGGAAAATGAGTAAGTGCACCCACCTTGTAAGAGCTTGGTAAGTTTGATCATGTCCATATCGATGTGTTGAATTAATTCGATGTCGTTGTAGTCCGGATTCTCCTCAGAGCAGGATGTCAGCTCCTGAATCCTGGCCGAGATGCGATTGAACACAGCCGAAAAGTGATTCTGCGACAGGGCAAAGAGCACCTTCGATGCCAGGGCCTTGAGCTGGGCAGCATTCGGATTACTGTCGCTCTGGACATCCACAAACTGGGAGATTTCGCGCAGCAGGAGCTTCACATTCATGGCCTCCTCGAAACGAGCTGTGTCCTTGGTCTGATTGGTCAAACAGCGCTCCAGGGTGGTCAGTATGATGACCAGCGACTCGAAATAGCAACGCTCCGGCTCATGGCGATTTTGAAGAGCCTGCAATAAGATACCTTTTTGTTTACTATTTAACGATGAGGTTTGCTGGCAGTACTCACCGCCTCATTGACCCTTTGGAGCATTTTAGTAAGTCCGGAAATAACCAGGGAAAAGCGATATCGCGATATGTGGATTAGACAGGCCACCAGTTGGTCCTGGCTCATCCTGGCCTGCGTTCCGTAGGCTCCGATTCTGTTCGGCAGCTGCAGAATTGATTAGTATTAGAATTGATTGATTATTTCCATTTCATTCATAAGTGCCATTCAGTGTTATTGTTATTGTCGCTATCTCGCTCTCCCACGCATTTGATTGAGAGCACACACGCATAGAGTGCGTGGGCCACACATACACCCAAACGGAGAGAGCATGTGTGGGAGGGCAAGAAGCAGAGTAGCAGGTACATTTTTTCGCCTGGGAAAACGCAGCTGCGGAAAAGCCGTGGAAAAACACTTGCCTGATCTTCAAAACGGGCCAAAAGGGCACTAGCCCACTCGCCTGGCTTTTGTGTGGCCATTTTGTGCTGTTCTCACAATTATTTATTTGTTTTTTTACTGCATTTTTGTAGGTAAAAATGGAACCTTTTCACTGCGTTTTGGCAAGTAAAATGGGAACCATTTGTTTGGTGGGCAGAAGGAAAAACAATGGGGTGAGTCCCATTTTGGTTGGTAGTCCCAGGTCGCCCTTTTTTGGCTCAGAAATCCACTTCCTGCTTTTATTTTCACAATTTTCTATCCTCGCGAACTTATATTATTTTTTTCCTTCCAGTCGCGTACTAAGTAGAGATGGGCATTGCCAGTTAGAGGTGAGCCTTTCGCCTTGCGATAGTTTGCTCAGGGTGACCATCATGCCATTGGCTAAAGGCGAAAGCGCGGTTTTTTCAAATTGGTTTTGAACGGCATGTTTTTGGTCACTCTTTTGCAAAGCCACTACTCGAAAATTTCATGAAAATTAAAAAAAATCAACCGGAAATTCCAAGCCAAAATCAATTTTAGGGAAATTAAGCCACAAGTCTTTAAGGATATACCCCTTTAAAATCGAACGCCTGTAAGAAAAGTTATGGGTTTAGAACTGCAGGTTTTTGGTCACTTTTTGCAAATCCATTTTTCGGAAATTTAGAGAGGGGTTACATCATAAAAATGACAAAAAATCGACCCGAAATTACAAACCTAGATTTTGACGCAGATATTTTAAGACCTTAGCAACAAGTTTTTTAAGATATCCCACTTTGGAATGGGATGTCTGTAAGAAAAGTAATGGACTTTGAACTATAGGTTTTTGGTCACTTTTCAGCAGTCATATTTCGGAAATTTAGAAAGAGCTTACATCATAAAAATGACAAAAATCGACCCGAAATTACAAACCTAGATTTTGTTGCAGATATTTTAAGACCTTAGCAACAAGTTTTTAAAGATATCACACTTTGGAATGCGATGTCTGTAAGAAAAGTAATGGACTTAGGACTGCAGGTTTTTGGTAACTTTTTTTGAAGTAATTTTTTTTACTTTGACAAAATTGGACGACCCCAAAAAATTAAAACAGTTTAGTAGTTATTATTAGTTTATTTAATTTTGTTGTTAATGCATTACAAATTATCGATATTGAATATTTGCTCTGTCTTAGTTGGGGTTCTGGTTTTTCCTTTGAATGTGTGCTTGGTGGAATCTGTGCAAATTATAAGTACATTGTCCAGCAATACCTAATATTTATAATGTTTCAGCATTTCAAGCAGTAGTAGGTCCAAATTGAATTCTATCTGTAGTGATTTAGTGTTGTCTCCAACTTTAGTTAATATTTATTTAATTGTTCTATTATTTTACGGTATAAAGTAAGTTTAGCTAGCTAAAAAACACATGTACAGTCGCATATAGATATATTTGTTTTTATTGAAAATGTTTTGCGTTATTTTTTAAATAACCGTTTCCTATGTTGACAAAAAATTTAAGTTTAGGCATAGGCTTATGTTACAATCGTGTTTATTGGCCATTTTTGGGAAGTGAGTTAGATACTTTATATAATAGATGGAAATCAAATAGTGCACTTAAACAGGTGAAAAATATATGTGGAAAATTGTTTGTGAGCTTGTTTAGTAAATTTGTATATTGTTTTGATTTTGGTATAATAATGGTTTTCTCATAGATTTAAATGCAGTTATTGATATACGTTTGTTCGAGGGGTCTTCTTTGCAGCGCAAAGGAGTGTGTATATGAGTTTGCTATATTACTTTATCTAGCTGTATATCCTGTAATGGATAAGTGGTTTAGATTAATTTGTTTTAATGGACGTTTAATGGTTATTCGCTTCAAAATGATAGCTACACAGGTGCTTGAAACTTAGTCTGAAGAAAGCGCTAGATACAAACTGATGCTCGTTGTATATAGAATATGCTCGTAAAACTAGTAAGATTTGTATTAAGCCTGCGTTGTTTCGTTATCGTTCTCGTATTCGATTCGGTTTGTTTAGATCTTATAGCTACGGTTTCCCTTTGAAATTGAATTTCAATGCAGTGTAATCCTGCGTTCGCTTCCTTGAGCAGGCCTGCTAACAATAAATTACTGCTGAACCGGAGGACGGGTTTCCCGCCCCCCCCAATTCAGCAGCCGACTAGAGTAATAGACTAAATTTAACAATTCCTTTGGGGGCATCAGATTATAGACTACAGCTAGGAATGGGCATTCGTTTTGGAGCAGGGATTCAAATGGAAACGGGTTGATGGGTTCTTCATTTAGAACGAATATGTAATATAATATAAATAAAATATCTAAGAATTTGAAATTAAGCTTATTTAAAGTTGGCCACACTTTTCAAAAGTTGGCAGTGTGGTCTTACAGTACAATTTAAGTCAACATTAGGTCTATTGAAATAATTTTTTAAAACGTATTAAACATAGCTCTTTTATAAAAACAAATACAAAGAACCCTATCTTCTGGCTATCTACCTTGGGTATTTATATTTCGATCCCAGAACATAAACATTTCGTTTATTTCGAATCCGCTTTTTTAAGAATGGGGTGCTTAGATGGTCCAGACCTGGACCTTTTCGGCCACCACACACCAGCTGGCCCGTTCGTAGTAGGAGCTAACGATGTGCAGACTGGCCACATGGTGGTTGATTAGGGCATCCAGTTCGCCCTCGCGGAACACATGGTAGTAGCGATGGTGGGTACTGGCTCCTCCCTGCGAGGGGCTGTCCAGGGAGTTGGTGGAGCTGTTCGAGTGCTCCAGGGATTCGTTGGAGGGTCGCTGTTGGAGGTTCGCCGTTTGGCTTGGCTCCTGTTTGGGCTGCTGTTGCTGACTCGCCGGTGGTTGGACCTTCAGGGCGGCCATGTTGCGCCTGCGTTGGCCGTAATCGGCCATGCCCTCGCCCAGCTGGTCACCGCCTCGGGCTTCCAGGGCCTCTGCCTCCGCATCCTCGTCCTGCTCCTCCAGCTCCTCCTCCTCGGGTATGACATCGTCCTCGTCGTCGCGCACATCACTATCGCCATCGTCCTGCAGGAGGTAGGCTGTCTCCGGATTGAGCTGGTAGTGGCGATTCCTCTTGTAGCTAAACTTCGAGATCTTGCAGTGCTCGTAAACGCCCAGCGAATAGCTGGACTCGTTCTCCTCCTCCTCCTCACCGTCCTCTTCCTGGATGGTGAAGCTGCGCGTTTGCGAGGACAGCGATGAGGTGGATGAGCTGACCGGCGATTGCTGGAGACTCGGCTGCGTGGAAAGATTGGCCAACATCAGACGACGTTCCCTGAGCTCATCACGAAAAGTACTGAGGTCGCCATTGGAGCGCTTCTTGCCGCCGCCCAAGAACTCGGAAAGATCGCCCATTCCGATGCCGTCCAGATATCGGCATTCGGTGCGGCTGCTCTTGTCCTCCAGTTCCCGCTGCAGTTGGGCCGTCAGTTGCTCCGCGAACTCCGCACAATCCTGCTTCTGCGTGGCCTCTCTCTTTTCGGGCAGCAGAGTGGCACTGGCCGCATTCAGTATTATATCGTCTTCGGCCTGGGATCGCGAGTTATTGATCTGCAGCTCTCCCTTGTGGTACTGCTCCTGCTGCCGGCTGATCATCTGCGCCAAACTGGGCTCTCCCTCGTCCTGGGAGGCGGAGTTGGAGTTCGAGTTTGAGTTCGCGGAGGCCGTTCCTCCCTCGTCACTTCCCGATGGCGCCTTGGCCAGCCTGGGAGCGCTAATCACACTGTCTATGGAGTCGGGCGAGGAGGGTTCACTGGAATCGCTGTCCAGATCATCGGTGGCCGGATTGAAGAGCTCCAAGGAGAGCAGTTTACTGGCCAGCGATGAGGAGGAGGCCGAAGTGGAGACCCCCGAGCCCGAAGCTCTCCGCACGATGGGAAAACTCTGACGCTGCAGCTGCAGCGATTGCTGTTTCCGGAACTTGGGAATGGGTGGCAGATCTCTGATGGCCTGGCGGGTGATCCGGCGCACAGGTGGCGACTCCTTGAGCGGCTCCCTTGGTGGCTCTCTCTTCTCCCTGGTCGGCTCCTTGTGGAGGTCCATTTGCTGCTCCTTCTGCTGCTCCTTCTGCTGCTTGATGTGGGCCTCATCGAAGCTGAAGCGAGCTGGCTTCGAGGGTGGGGTCAGGATGGCCATGGCCGCGGAAACAGCCGACGTGGACTGCGGCGGGGAGGTCACCGTGCCCTGAATGGCAGCCGGCGAATGGGCCGGAGTGGGAGGGCAGGGCATGATGAGCGGCGACGTTGGCACTGAGTGGGTGGTGGGTGGCAGTCGAGAGCCGGCATTCACTCCCTGATCCCGGCCAGCGGCACCCTGAGCCCGCTGACCGTTGCTCGACGAGGAGTTGCTCGAACTGGAGTTGGAGTTCTGGTGCTGCTGCTGGTAGTTCAACTGCTGCTGATGCTGCTCCGGCTTGGGTATGAATATGACCGAGGCGAAGCTGTCCTCGGACTCGATGCTGGTGTCCGACTGCAGGCTGCTGTCCTTGGAGGAGTCCGAGCCGGACTCCCGCGAGTGCCGCCGGGCCTTGTCGCCCTGACCGCCGTCCGCGCAGGCGGGACACTCCTGCTGGTACTGGCTGCAGTGGCACAGGCTGCCCATTGTGCACTCCACGGTGCTGCAGTACGTCACTGGTCCCGCAGTCGACGATGCAGGCAGTATCAAGTGGGACAGATGGTGAACCGGGTGGTGGTGGTGGTGATGATGGTGCTGATGACCCAACGCCGACGATCCCTGCTTATTGTTGTTATTCAGCGTGGGGCTTTTGTCCGTTTGAGCGGGATTCTGGACCGGATTTGGCTGCGCCTGCGGTCCACTCTTTATGTTTTGGATCAGCTTGCTTATGCCCGTCTTCGTCACCCTTTCCAGGCTGCCCGTCGAGCTCTTGATCTTGGTGGTGAAGCCCTCGCGGATCACTTGAAGCCGTTTGGAGAACAGGGCCGATCGACACAGGAAGGCTTCGTTCAGGGAGGTCTGTTTTTGGATGCGCTTGCGCACCCTTTCCTTTTCCCTCAGGCGATTGCAAGCCATCAGATCCTCGTTGAGCGAGCTCTGTTTGCGCAGGAAGGTGGGCCCTCCAGATGCTCCTACCGAACATGCTCCTCCAGCTCCCTCACCAGGATCTCCCGAAGAGGACGTGGCCGTCGACGAGGACGAGGCATGCTGGTGAAAGTTCCCAGCATAGCAGCCACTCCTCGTGTACAAGCTGCTGATCACACCGCCATTGGATCCATTCAAGGTACTCACCATCTGGAAGGACTCGGGGGCGGGAGGCGTGGCGACGTCATCGTCGCACAAGGACTGCTTCTGCTTGATGAGCTTGGGCCGGCGGCTCAAGGTGTTCCCAGCACTGGCCGTGGTGGTGGGTGAATGCCTTCCATTCATCTGCAGTTGCAACTGAAGCTGTTGACCCTCGGGGGCATTGAGTAACAGAGCCGCCGCACTGGCCTTCGAGTCGCCGGGAATCAAAGGACCTCCCAGACTGGGAACACTGGAGCGGGAGCGGACAATCTGGCGGGGCGGTGGCTGCAGGATACTGCCCAAGCTGCGGGACTTGAGACCAGCTGATAGTGGTGGGTCGGGAAAGTCTTCGAAGTCCTCCAGGCGACGCAGCTCGATGGGCAGGTCCTTGGCGTCCTCGTAGTCCAAACTGCTGTCGTTCTTGGTGTCCTTCGAGGACCACGAATCCATGAACCACGCATGCCGACGTCCACGGGCCAGTTTCTGTTTCCGTAATTTATAATTTAACAAGTTTTAGAAATAGAAAAGGACAGATTGCTAATACCTGAATGGCCCGGCGAACGAAGCTGTAGCAGGACTCGCCCGGCGAGGATGAACTGAGGCTGGAGCTATCCCCATCCCCAGCCGATCGACTGGAGTTCGTCGAGTCCTCGGTGTAGGCGTGGTAGGGCGGCTGAAAGTTGTCATCGTCCTCCTCATCCGAGTAAGAATAGTTCCGATTCTTGGGCGGCTGCCAAGGGATCAGCACGTCCTGCGACTCAAAGCGCCGATGTCGCTGCTCCAGCGCCCACACAGTGATCACCACCCGGCCGCCGATCCTCAGGATCCTGGCCAGCTCCCTAAGCGCCTGGACACGTCGCTCCGTGGTGGCAAAGTGGTGCACCACCGCCAGCGACAAGACCGCATCGAAACTGTCGTCCCGGAACGGCAGTTCCAGATTGTCGCACAGGGCCACCTGTGAGAATATAAATTAAGGTAAATTAATAAGTAATAAAATAAATGTTTTAATATACAAGTTCATTTATATTCAGCCCTATTTAGGATGGGTAAAATACCATTTTATTATAAATATATAATCCAAATTAATTAAAATACCCTATATCCTAAAAAATATTGAATATTGGTAGACATTTTAGTAGGAACTTAAAACAAACTATATAGAAGAACCTTTATTTAGTTTCGTGATGTATTTAAGAAAAAAAATTATCCATATTTTTTTATATAACTATATATTTTTAAGAAATCTTGTTAAATTGAATTACTTTATGCCCTTTAAAATAACGTATACATTTTGACATGGGAAAAGATTTTATTAGGAGTTTAAAGACAGCTATATATAGGATCTGAGAGATATTGTTTTTAGCTCTTGACAAATCTGAACTATTAGTGAAATTACATTCAAATAAATTGTTCAAAATTAAGAAATTGGCTTATTAAAAAAAAAATGATTTATTAATAATTTCCCAAGGTCCCAAAGTCTAGCTCACTGCAATCGCAGCCAACCAGCGATCCCCGGGGAAGCAGTGCCAATTAAGCTGTGTCAAAGATAAGTCGTCGCAGGAGTCTATTTGTGGGGTCAGAAATGCCGACTTCGTGCTCCTGTCGCTGACATCGAGTCTTTGCCGGAAATCTCCCTTGGGTCCTGCCTGCAAAAGTATGCAATTGAAATAGTGGCTGCTGGGGCAAGTAAAAGAAGAGAAAGCAATTTCAAGCCCTGGACAGAACCATCAATTGCCTTCAAGAAAAGTTCAGCATTGAGGATGGATTGCACAAAATGAATTTCCATATCAAAGCGATGCAGGATGATTGAATAATCCGTTATCCCTTTCGGTTGGCTACATCATTTTGCAATTAGTAACTTTTCCGTGCTGGTAAAAAACAAAGTTATCGGTTTGGTTGGCTGCTTGGAAGTGGGCTTCATCCATTTGTCATTCCTATATACGCTGGGGTCCTGTCCTGTTCGAAAGTTATCAACTTGGCCACAACTGACCTAACACAATGTGGCCAAAACTACGGTCTTTGTATGCACACCATTTATATTCATTTTTGTGTCATGGCCAGAGCTGATGGTGTCGATTACCATAGCTGCGATAAAGGGAGTTAAGCAAGCAAAGGTGTATTCCATTCGTCCAATATATAGATGACAAATGGCACAGCTTGTCAATGGAGAAATTTAATATCGATTCAAGCTGTTCCAGGAAATGCAATTCCTAGTCAATATAAATCTATCATTCTCCAGGAAATAGTTCTCAACTCTCGCTTGCAGAATCAAATTTACTTTGGCGTTCAAATGCCAAGTTGAAAATTGTGTTTCTGCCATGTAAAATGACAGTTTTTTTTGCTGCAATTCCCAATTTCCGCTTCCCTCTCAACTAATATCTGTGTATTTGCGCAATCCGTATCTCTAAGTGTGTGTTTGCCTGCAGAAATAAAAATCCTTGACCCACCAAGCCATACACTTCGCCCTGAGATTTTGAGCTTCTCGTGCTGCCCACCTGAGAGAAATTCAGACTGAGCCATTATAAGCTGAAAGTCTTCAGCAAATATCAACTAACATAAGTGTTTTTCGGCCTGCCAGCTTTCGATGTGCATTGACATAATTAAATTTTAGTTTTGGCAAGAAAAAATTAAACTATTTTTATCAAAATAATAACTAATAGATCTAAGAATACAAAACTCGCTACTACACTTACTTATTAGGTAATGGTTATATGGGTTTATGAAGTTTTAAGTTTTCTTTATTTATTTTAAGGCCTATAAATTCCACTTAGTCGTAAGAGAGTAAGCAACAATTGGGGGCTCAAGATTTTGCATTATTTTAGAAGAAATTGAAAACCATTGTTTTCCCGTCGTGAATGGTCCCATGCAAACAAACAGAATCTCATGCATTTTAGGTAAGCAAGCTTTTGTTTCCTTTTTATGGGCATGACTTTTAATGCACGGCAATGCAGAACCATTCATTCATTTGATCCCCCACCCATTCTATATCCTCTGCTCTTTAGTTTCTCCTTTCGATGTCCACGATGCGATGAATGCGTTTGCTGACAGTTTTCCTCTATTCGCCTTGCTTTTTTCCAGCGCTCTTTACAAATCGTATTTATAGCAGTTGCCATTTTTCACATGCGGGACTTTTGTGAGTGTGTGATATGTGTAATGTCACGCGGGTCGGGCACATGACGCCTTTGAAATTTATGTTGACATGGTTTCCAGGCGGAGAGTGTTAGGTGAAAGTGAAACACTTTGCGCATACGCCACGTTGCACGCTAATGAGGCCAAAGTGCAACGCAAAGTCTTAGAAAGGTGAAAAGACAGGCGGGTCATACCCTATACATATTTTATGCGTATTAAAACAAACGATTGACAATTGGTGTATTGGCATTAGTTCCATTTAATTAGCAACTGTTTTTTGAAAATTTGCTCATTGGAAACAGCACCAAATCGATTATTCACGAAGGTCTATCTAGAAGTTGTGGCATTTCTTCTTGTGGCCCTTGTACAAACCGAAACCCAAATATGAAAAGAGAATTTTAGGAAGCCAGTAGGTCTTTAACGAAATTAAAATTGGTTCATTAATGATGGCAAGATAGTAAAACTAGTATACTAAATTAATATGTAGTGCATACTATACACATTTTAGTGATGCACAGGTTTTCTGCCGAAAAGTGTCAGATAAAATAAAACTCGTTACGCATACGCCACGTTGCACGCGACGGAGGACAAAGCGCAGCCTCAAAAGTACGAAAAGTCAGGCGGTATTCTGGGTTGTAAGAAAAATATATATTCCCATGCCATGCAGTGTCTCTTTGCGGCTTATTTAAATGTCGCTTTAGTCAAGAACGGAGCCTCAGGCCTGTTGAAAAACTCAACAATTTGCAGGTTTTACCTGGCCCAGAAACCAGCTCTCTGCACCTGCCATTATTGAGTTTCACTTTTTATGTTTCTGCGTTCCTGTTGCCCATTTGAATGCGCCATTTTCGGGGTGGACTAAGATTTACGAGGATATCTCGCTGGTAGTGTGCTTTTTCGGGTGCTCGTGTTTGACTGCTCCACTTTGCCGGTTTTATTGCTTTACAAAATTATTGAAAATCAGGCCATGCACGAGCTGCAGGAATCAAATTTGCAACTTTGTGTCCAGACCAAGTTAAATTGGTTTTGCATAAAGTTTGCCATTCCGCAGCAATACTTGCATTTGCTTGCATGTCACGTGCGCACTTTCTGCATTTACAGCCGAGTTTATATTAAACACATTAGGTAAATAGAACGAAATACCGATCGAATCCGCTTTGCTATGCAAACTATCGGGAAAAGTAATTAGAAACCCATGCGGACAATCAGCGACAAGCCGTTGGTAAAGGGTCAAGGACTCGCCGGCAAATAATTGGAGGCACTAAGCTCCTGTCCGGTAATGTGGCATGTTATTAAATAAATTAAGCCGCTTACAATACTCGAAGGGCGAAGTGCAGCAGCTGCTGCTGCAACCTTGCTGTCAATTCCACGCAAAAGCAATTTAAATGCGAAGAATGCGTGTTGTCGATTACTACGGCGGGTTGGGAAATGAAAACTCCGGGCAGGGCATTTTCCACTTCTCGGGAAATGGTTGTCGGCCGCCTGGAAATGGCACCATAAATAAGCGCGGGGCGTTAGTAATAGATTATGGCAAAAAGTATTGCATACCTCAGGCAGCCATGCCGCTGAATAACTACTCTTATATAGCATAGTCGGTCGGGGGGATCGCAATTTATTGTTGTTCCTTGTAAAAAGAAAATGTAGGGGGTTGCCAGCAGCAACAGCGCGACAAAGGAAAATGGGGAAAACTATGCAACACAGTTGTGTCATTGTTGGGGGAATATTGTTCGAGGAAAAAACTAAGTGCGCTGTACTTCATGTTCATTATGACATAGTCGAGCGTATCACTTAATTGTGCCCAGAAGTGCGAGGCATGGCTTTTACCCTTTGAACATTAACACAGGCTAAGTATTAACACCGCTTTCTAAATACTACAATTTTGCAGAGAGTTTAACTAACACAAAAAAAAATATATAAAAACAAGAAAGAAAGCAAACTTCGGCAAGCCGAAGTTCATATACCCTTGCAGCTATTGCAAGAATTAAACATTTTTGAAAACATTAAAATTATAATTTACTTGCGTATAAGTTTAAAAACATTGAAGCTATGATGATTTGCAGCTCAATTATTTGATAGTTATTTTATATATTTTTATTGTTCCTATGGGAGCTATATGATATAGTCGTCCGACTTTGATGAAACTTAAACCGTAAATTGGAAATATTTAACCATTACTAAATGTCGAAGAATTAAACAAAAAATTAAAAAACAGAAAAGTTATAATTTTTTTTCATTTATTTTTCCGATTGTTCCTATGGGAGCTATATGCTATAGTCGTCCGATTTTGATGAAATTTTTACCATAATTCTGAAATATTTAACCATTGCTATATGTCGAAGAACTAAACAAAAAATTAAAAAACAGCAAAGTTATAATTTTTTTTCATTTATTTTTCCGATTGTTCCTATGGGAGCTATATGCTATAGTCGTCCGATCCGGCTCGTTCCGACTTATATACTACCTGCAATAGAAAGACAACTTTTGGGAAAGTTTCATGCAGATAGCTTTAAAACTGAGAGACTAGTTTGCATATAAACGGACGGACAGACGGACAGACGGACAGACGGACGGACAGACGGACATGGCTAGATCGACTCGCCTAGTGATGCTGATCAAGAATATATATACTTTATAGGGTCGGAGATGTCTCCTTCACTGCGTTGCAAACTTCTGACTGAAATTATAATACCCTCTGCAAGGGTATAAAAACAATAAAAAGGTAACTGAAAGTTGTTTTATTTATCCCTGCCAGCCAGTCAATTCCACAAATTTACTTTCTATTTAGGGATTCATATTATATTATGCTGAATTATTTATTATTCCGTTTAGTGGCTCTGACATGAATATTTTAATGAATTGTCTAAATGAATTTCTCATGAAAAATGCATCCTCGTGATTTCGTTTAAAATGTTATGCAGAGTGCTGAATTTCCAAACAGTAAGCAAATGCTGCTGCCACTCGAAGTGCATTAAATGCATTTGGCGATTATGCATCTTCTTTGTCTGCCCGTCATCTGCAGTTTATGGGATTTGGCTCGTTGGCTGGCTCCCCAAACGACTCGTTTTACGACACCGTTGTAGACCATTGCAATTATGAGGCATTAAAAACTGCCATTGCAAACGTCGAGCGGAACATGTGCAAATAATTTCCAATGATAAGCATAATTTATGCGTTTTGCAAATGGCCAACTTAAGTGGAGCAACTAACATTTGAATACAGCGAATGTTAAGCGGCCCCACACTTTCCCCGATGCAATCTGCTGCTCCCTGTGCGACTTGTTAGCGGAAAATGGAAAATAGAAAATGGGTCAATTGCATGGCCAAGAGAACTCCAAGCTACACGACCGCACCAAATACATGCAATTAGCAGGCTGCAATTAGATTGCACACAAACTTGATGTGTTCATGCGAAGCTCATTTCGCACATTCAGCTAATCAAGAACATACGCGGCAACTTTGAACCAAGTAATCTCAATCCCTTCTTCCCTTTGTTTTTTCCTCTTTTTTTTAATATGGATATTTAAAAACCAATGTTAAATAATAGCGATTTGTCATGTTCATGTCTTAAAGTCACAGTAAGGAATAAATAATATTAAATACGTTACGTATTTGTGAAATAGCCTTTAATTTCATCCGCTTGTTCCGATTATGAAAAATAAGTCTGCTAATATGTTTTTAAGTGCCTAATCGAAATATTTGCTTTTTTTTTGATTACTTAGCCATATAGATTAATAAAACTAACAATATTTACGTTTCCATAAAGGGGTACCAAGATTTTTCTTAGACACCTGTATGCTTCATCAAGCAGTCCTTATATTATGGGTTAACCATAAGCGAGAGTGTAGCTTTAATGGGGCCGGGGATAAGAAACTCACCTCGCCGCCCTTTTGGTGGGCTACTTTGCTCAGGCGATAGCAGCGCTCTACGCCGATGGTGCAGATGGCCGGATTGCACTGGGTGAGATACCTTCCGCTGCCGCAACCCACGTCGCAGACCACGGATCCGGGATCGAGGCCGCTGAGGAAGTGGGCCATCCGAGGACGAACAGGTCCGGTGGGCTCCTCGCAGTTCTCGTAAACATCGTGCACGTAGGCACGCTCCAGAGCCGCCGATCTGCCACTGGCATCGCTACTCGAGGGCTTCTCCTCAGCCGCCGGTTTGGCGGACTGTGCCACAGTCTTTGTAGTTTCGCTGACAGGCGAGATGGTGGTGGTGGTGCCACCTGCTCTTCCACTTGATCCTGTCTCGAGTGTCGTGGCTGCGGTCGGGGATATCACTGTGGGCGCCAAATCACCCGGCTGCCCTATTCCCGATGCCGCATTCGTTGCAGTTGCCGTTGTCAATTGCTTGGTCATTGTGGCTGCTGCTGTTGCAATTGCTGGCGCTGCTCCTGATTTTGCTCCTGTCGTTGTGTAGCACTTGTCACTTGTTGTCGAGGGGCACACTTCATCTGCAAAAGATATAAAAATAGAAGAAGGAAGTCAGAAACGGGGCTTTACACGAGTTTTGTGTCAATATCTTAATTCCATGTTAACAAGTTGCGTTCAAATCTTTCAGCTAAATTGAAGTGAATATAAAGGAAGTACGGAAACATATCAGTCAAGCAAAAAACTTAACATTTTTTCTAGCTGTCTTTAATTGCGGGCTAAACAGTTGAAGATAATGCATATTTGACTTTTAAACAAAGTTGCTTAAATATAGGAACTCAAATTTAAAAACAAACTAATTTTAATATTATTTATTATCTGAATTAGAACCGTAAAAATTTTAAAGAATATTAAAAAAAAGGAAAAACAGCGTATTTTTTTGTTTATATAACATATACAAAAATATATGAAAACAAGAAAGAAAGCAAACTTCGGCAAGCCGAAGTTCATATACCCTTGCAGCTATTGCAATAATTAAACATTTTTGAAAACATTAAAATTATAATTTACTTGCGTATAAGTTTAAAAACATTGAAGCTATGATGATTTGCAGCTCAATTATTTGATAGTTATTTTATATATTTTTATTGTTCCTATGGGAGCTATATGATATAGTCGTCCGACTTTGATGAAACTTAAACCGTAAATTGGAAATATTTAACCATTACTAAATGTCGAAGAACTAAACAAAAAATTAAAAAACAGAAAAGTTATAATTTTTTTTCATTTATTTCTCCGATTGTTCCTATGGGAGCTATATGATATAGTCGTCCGACTTTGATGAAATTTAAACCGTAAATCGAAAATATTTAACCATTACTAAATGTCGAAGAATTAAACAAAAAATTAAAAAACAGAAAAGTTATAATTTTTTTTCATTTATTTTTCCGATTGTTCCTATGGGAGCTATATGCTATAGTCGTCCGATTTTGATGAAATTTTTACCATAATTCTGAAATATTTAACCATTGCTTTATGTCGAAGAACAAAACAAAAAATTAAAAAACAGCAAAGTTATAATTTTTTTCAATTATTTTTCCGATTGTTCCTATGGGGGCTATATGCTATAGTCGTCCGATTTTGATGAAATTTAAACCATAATTCTGAAATATATAACTATTGCTATATGTCGAAGAACTAAACAAAAAATTAAAAAACAGCAAAGTTATAATTTTTTTTCATTTATTTTTCCGATTGTTCCTATGGGAGCTATATGCTATAGTCGTCCGATCCGGCTCGTTCCGACTTATATACTACCTGCAATAGAAAGACAACTTTTGGGAAAGTTTCATGCAGATAGCTTTAAAACTGAGAGACTAGTTTGCATATAAACGGACGGACAGACGGACAGACGGACGGACAGACGGACGGACAGACGGACAGACGGACAGACGGACATGGCTAGATCGACTCGCCTAGTGATGCTGATCAAGAATATATATACTTTATAGGGTCGGAGATGTCTCCTTCACTGCGTTGCAAACTTCTGACTGAAATTATAATACCCTCTGCAAGGGTATAAAAATTTAGCTTCTCTATTTTTTGGTTTAATAATTCAGAATTAAGCTTTGTTAACTGGAAAAAGAATAATTTTTTGGAATAGCTGCATGTATAAATAAATTTCGCCTTGCCGAAAGTTGCTTCTTTTCTTGTTTTAAGTTCTTTGAGATGCAGTAATAGTTTAATGTTTCAGAATTACGACTTAAATCTTATTGATCTCGGAAACCTATATCAAAAAGCTCCAATAGGAACAAACGCAATTTTATTTGGTGTTATTTAAATTAGTTTCATTTATTTTTATATATATATACAAACAAAATTCTTGAAGAGTCTTAATAACAAATATCAAGGCTGTTTTTATACCCTTGCAGAGGGTATTATAATTTCAGTCAGAAGTTTGCAACGCAGTGAAGGAGACATCTCCGACCCTATAAAGTATATATATTCTTGATCAGCATCACTAGGCGAGTCGATCTAGCCATGTCCGTCTGTCCGTCTGTCCGTCCGTCTGTCCGTCCGTCTGTCCGTCTGTCCGTCCGTTTATATGCAAACTAGTCTCTCAGTTTTAAAGCTATCTGCATGAAACTTTCCCAAAAGTTGTCTTTCTATTGCAGGTAGTATATAAGTCGGAACGAGCCGGATCGGACGACTATAGCATATAGCTCCCATAGGAACAATCGGAAAAATAAATGAAAAAAAATTATAACTTTTCTGTTTTTTATTTTTTTGTTTGGTTCTTCGACATTTAGTAATGGTTAAATATTTCCGATTTACGGTTTAAATTTCATCAAAGTCGGACGACTATATCATATAGCTCTCATAGGAACAATCGGAAAAATAAATGAAAAAAATTATAACTTTTCTGTTTTTTAATTTTTTGTTTAGTTCTTCGACATATAGCAATGGTTAAATATTTCAGAATTATGGTTTAAATTTTATCAAAATCGGACGTCTATATCATATAGCTCCCTTAGAAATAATAAAAATATATAAAATAACTATCAAATAATTGAGCTGCAAATCATCATAGCTTCAATGTTTTTAAACATATACGAAAGTAAATCATAATTTTAATGTTTTCAAAAATGTTTAATTCTTGCAATAGCTGCAAGGGTATATGAACTTCGGCTTGCCGAAGTTTGCTTTCTTTCTTGTTTAATTAATGGTCCTTAAGAATTTCCAGTCTAAGTGCTTCCACGGTAAGTTATTTCTGGACTATTGAATAGCATTCTAGGAAATGTCCATTTCACTCCATTCGTTATGCAAACTGCAGTGTAATTTATAATCCGCCAAACAATTTGTATAATTAAGCCAATTGCATGGTTGAATGCGGACCATAAAGTCAATTTAAGCTCGACTTCTTGTTGCGTGCCGTTAGAAAATTGGCGAAAACCGAAGGAGGACTACAGTGCATGACATCAAGTCGTAAAATCGTTAGAAAAACGTCAGCAAAACCCACACAATGACACGTGCGCGTTGCATACCGGATGTAAGGCAACTGTTTTGGGTTAGCATTGCTGTTGACATTTTATAACCGTTCTTCCGGTGGCACTTCTGAATGGAAATTTTAACGCCTCGGGCGCAGTCAACTGGCCATTGTCAGCGCCAATAAATTGCATTTAAAATCCTGTTGCACAAAGGGATATTACCCCGAAGTGGGTGTCTTCAGCTGGGCGGTGGGTAGATTGAGGCCATTTCCAGGGAGCCACAGCAGCCGGCAGTGGGCGCCAAACGACATTAGTGCAGTAAAATGGAATTATAATTGAAATCTGATTAAAAGCAGTTGTAGTGCCAACAATGACGCAGCATTTGAGATGAGGATGGGGGCGGCAAATGGGGGCGAGGACTGCGGACTGCGTATAGCTTATGACCCGGGGGCGTTAATGAGTTAGCGCCCATTCTGTGTATGTGTTAATAAGCACTGTAAATGAGTTATGAAATGTATTTTATGACATTTTGATTGAAACTATGGCATAGGAAGAAGAACGAAACAGCTGGAAAAGATGCTAGACACATGGAGAGCGAAGCATAAATCGGGAAAAGGCATAAAACTTGATAGTTTTGTGCTTTAATAAAGAAGAGATTTTAAGCATGACAAGTAGAAGCTTTTAGAAAACTCAAAGAAGAACTTAAGCCAACATTCCCAATAGAGATATTTAAATTTGTAATATATTTAAGTCAACCCTAAATATGGAATGAGGACTTTTGCGTGTGCAAAAATCTTGACAGTTCGATTTGCGGGTCAATGAATTGCTGAAGAGCATCAGCTTTAAAAGTTAACCGTACCTACTTATTTAAAAGATTTTCTTTTTATGACTGCTTATAAAGCTTATCCCCGATAGCTTCCTTTTTATTCTCAGCACTTGCTTAGTGTGATGAGCACTCATTAACATCGTTATCATAATCAATAAAGTGCTTTGCCATTACCCATACGCCGCGTGGTACAGACGGATGCTTACCTTTTGTGGGGCCGTTGCTGCTGCGCTGATAACTCGCATTCAACAAAGCCGTCGACGACGCCAGTTCCGCTGATAACATGCGACAATGATGGGGATATAACGACAGCAACAGCAACTGGGCAGTGGTTGGAAAATCAATGTGCATGCATAATTTAAAGTCAGTTGCGGCACTTTAGACCCTTCGACATCCCGTTGGCCGTTTGGCTGATGATGGGAAATGAAACGAGAAACTCGGGCCCTCGACAAGCTGGCGACGCGCGATTATTTTTAGACTTTCGAAGCGAGGCACGTTCTGTACGATAATTTGCTCAATTTAGTTTTGAAATCTATCATTATGGCAACAACACGGTGTAATTGCAGTGCTTGTTTTTGTTTCTGTTGTTGTTGGCCACTGTGGCTAAGGACACGCTCTCTTGGCGCTGCCACACAAAATAGGATACACAAAATGCTTTTCCACGGGAGCTCCTGTCAATGCCTCTGGCATATGACGTTTCCTTTGTGTGCGTGTGTGTGTGCTGGTGTACTGGTGGGTGAGTGTGTGATTTTTTGCTTCTTCCTGGCACTTTTCACTTGCACTTTTCCTTTGGCCACATTTCATTTGGCCTCATCCAAGGGCCTTCCTGTTTAATTTTCCATTATCGCCTTTGATTTGGTTTTATTCTCGATATTCTGCTTAATTTCTAGGACACTGGCACTTGGCGCTTCACTTATATGTGTATATATATATATATATATATACAGAGCCGTGTGCAGTTGTGTGTGTAAGTGCGCGTGTGTGAGATTTTCCCGTTGATTTAGCCGTTTTCCAGCCCTCGTGTCCGTTCTCTCGGAGTCACCGTCGCGTACTAAAGCGAAAAGCCCCTTGGACTCCAATGCGTTGGTTCAAGGATGTTGCTCCTGCTGCTGTGGATCGCATCGGGAAAGCTTGGCACTCGGCCAACTTGACGAAAGCTTTCCGGAGCTGGGGCCACCAGCTCACAGCTGTTCGCAGAGAGGGAAAGTGATGCGGAGAAATGGAGCAGGAGAATTCGCCAGATTTTGAATTATGGTTGATTTGTTTTAAAAAACAATTCACCATAAAATAACAATTTACTTCTTTTGGGGCAAATGAGCAATGTAGATTGATAAACATGAAATTGTTAGGCATGGCTTATGCCATTTAAATATTAAATAATTTGATTAAAGTTCATAGAGGAAAATATTTTTGAACGTAAACTTTTATTTGCAACTTTTTTTTTCGATTCTGGCATGACATTTTAAAAACTAATATTTTCCAGTTTTCTTTACTAAGAATATTGCTTTAAGTTATGAACAGCTTTACGAAATTTGGTATGTATTAAATATTATTAAATATTTAATAAAGATAAAGCCCTAACAAATATTTTATCTTATCTAATGCTCAGTGTTGAGACAGGTACCATTTTTTTTACCTAGGTAAGGTAAAAGGTAGTTGCAAATATTTGTACCTAGGTAAGGTAAAAGGTATGCAATTTCTTCTGTACCTAGGTAAAGGTAAAAGGTAAAAAATACAAGTTAAAAATTTTTTAAATTTGAAATTTTTATTATCAGTTTCTTTTTCTGAGATACAAAGATATAAACATAAGTCACATTGGTTTCTTTTTTTGAGATCACCGGAAATTTTCACTTCTATTTTTGAATTTTTCGCTTTCAAAGCTTCATACGAAGAATAACTGTTCGGGTGAACCCTCTGAAAAAAAAGTGTCATAATGTTTTAATGTCTTCATTATACTTGTTTAATTTAAACATTATTATGTGCTTAGTCATACATATATTTATAAAAATGTGGTTTAATAAAAAAAAATAGTTTTACACTTTTTGGTGGAAAAAAAAAAATAAAAATAAAGAATGACCACCCCATCAATGTCCATAAAATTATGACCATATGTATGTATCCGTCAATTTCTTATTAAAATGCACTTTTAGATTATTTAAACTTATGGAAAATAATTTTCGCGCGAAAAAATGCATGTGCATAGATATGCACATTTACATTTAAACATACACTCCAATAAGCACATATTCATACATATATGATGCATACATAAATATGTGCTTGTTCACATACTCAAATAATTCGAAGGTGCATTAAAAAAATTGCGGGAATCGTACTGCTTCATGCTATGATTGTTTAAATGTTTTAATGAAATAGGCACAATCTATACATAAATACATACATATGGTCATATTCACATTGATGACTGCACCACATAAATGTATGAATAATCACATATGTATATACATATGTTTAAAAGCACATGTGCATGTCTACGCACATGCATTTTTTCGCGCGAAAATTAATTTATCAATTCACTTCACAGTTCACTTACCTTCAGATGTTTATGCAAGTTGCCGGTTGACTTTTCATCAAATTTGATAGTTTGGTTCACACACAGTTTGCACTTCCCGTCCGGTAAAAAGAAAGTACCATTTAAAATTAATGGTAGTTCCTTTTTTCTGCGTCTTCTTTTCTCATTTTAAGATTTGTTGTGACGTTTTCTAGGAACCAATGTCATCGACAAAAGTGCACTGTTTAGGTAGCAACGGCATTGCTAATTTAGCATTATACCAAATTCCAACGGAAAATATTTTTGCATTCTTACCATAAAGACCTCTGTGAGTAAGTGGTGGAACTATCATATTTCTAAGTTTTCGATTGCATTGCTGTGAAGCAGGGCTATTTCTAATATGCACAATATTTACATACACGTATGGAAGTACCTAAATACCTTACATAGCTAAAACTTAAGGTAAACGAAAATTCGTACCTAGGTAAGGTAAAAGGTAGCCAAATATTTTTTTACCTAGGTAAGGTAAAAGATACCGAAAAAAATTACCTAGGTACATACCTAGGTTCAAGTACCTAGATACACCCCAACACTGCTAATGCTGCAAAAAAACAAAAGATGGACTTGAAGTAGTGTGTCGCCATTTTTGAGCGCCTTAAATCTTTGAATCTTTGTAATTAAAAATCCGTAAAATGTTTAAAGCCATATAAATTACAGTTTATTGTTCCAAGCCCCCAACGAGAGCTCAATGGCAACCCAAATATAGCCAGCCCAGGGCAATTAAAATGACAAAAGAAAGAAAAGCCCGAAATTCGTCTTTGTTTGGTTAACGCGAGTCGGCTTGTCAAATTTCATGAATGAACCCCAAAGCGCAATTGAAGAAGTCAAAAAGTGAAAAAGTAAAAAAGGGAAAAAAGCAACAACCGCATCTCAGCAGCCAGTGCACAGAAATAGAAGCTTCGTTGAGTTGGCCAGAGCGAAATGTGTCGAAAATAGCAAAGAGCCAGCCACAAAATTGGCGAAAAATCGCTCCACAAGCTACCAAATGGCGCAAACTCTACGCAGAGTGCGTCCCTTTCCCACCATATACCCATCGCACTTGCACGCGTCACTTGACCCATCGCCCGATTACTTTTGATGAATGAAAAGCTTTTTGTTTTGACTTTGCCGCTATCTGCGAGCCGCGTGGAAAACTGCTATCGCGGGGATGGGAAAACTCCCCCTGAATTCGGTGTAGTTGTAAAGTAGCGCCATCCTCTGACGTCCCCGTATAGTAAAAGCTTGTAAGTCGGGGGCTTCCTGGCTTCCTTACTGGCTTTCTGGCAGTGGGTGGCATCCCGAGCGTCACATGTCTTTTTTGGGCCGCATGACTAATGTAGGCAAATGGCAAGCGCGTCGCAAAATGTGGCGCACATTTGGCGACATGCCAGCGCAGATACGCATTCTTCTCAACTCGGAGAAATATTTTAAGGTAGATTGGCATTTTATCTAAGGGATTAATGGTATCCTTTCTAAAATACAATCAAGAATTTACATTTATAGTTAGGTCTTTGTAAATTAGTGTAAATATTTAACTTTTTATATTTAGATGGGTAAAAGTAAAGATTATTCTATTTAAGTTTCTCATACTGCTCTTAAATAATTATTTCAAATTTTTGAAGACTTATTCTCTCAGTGCTAGCCTCAAACTGGTAATGTCTGATTTTTACCGGTAGATGGGTTTGATGTCGTCACTGAACCTTTGGATACGCTGTTTAATCATTCAGGAGTGCGTGCATGGAGTGGGTGCTTTACGGCATGTTTTGACAAAGGAATTACTTTCCTTATGCCAGATTGAACTTAAAGTAGAAGTAGAAGTGGAAGCGACTTTTATGATTGTTTTGGCCAAACGTGGGGCTATCTTTGGCGTGGGCCGCAAACGTCATAGCCTGTGACGCCTCGAAATTAGATTTGAACTTTGCTAGGCAAACATTTTATATATATAATAATATAATACCGTATATAAAAATAAATAGATTTCCCTGTGCCATTGGATGTGTTCTCGCCTTGGGCGCACGCCTGGCATCTAACGAATGTGGCATCATTAGTTCTGTCATAGTCATAAATCATACGCCCTTTGGAACGCTGTGTAGCCGGCAGCACGCCAAGGAGCCATGTTGAGCGATATTGCGGCAGGATTGCATTGCTAATAATGTCACGTAGCACAGCTTTTGACAGTCAAGTGTCACACACACACTCCAGCCGGAATCCAAGATTAGGCGCTGCTCAACATGGCCAATTATGAGGCCGGTTTCAAGGAACTGCGGATCTGGCACCCCACCCATTTGCATCTGTTCTTATCTAGCGCAAATTTAATTACAAAAACTGTGCTGGAAATTATGCCAAAACATACGCAAGGACGAAACGCGGCGGCCATACGAAAATAAACAGTAAAATGGTGAGGGGAAAAACTCATTTCGCAGTGCTATCGCCGCCCGGCAATCAGAGGCACCGCCCACGAACGAATCCTTATCCTTGTTCTTGGCAGGCTAAGACATTTTCTTTTTGTATGTTTTAGTTGGCAAATGAAGTGCAAATTATGCCAACGGCCAGTGCTGGGAAAAGCGCGGAAAACAAAGCGCTTTCCATGTTGCCCCGAAAAGTATGCCATCCACACACAACTGAGAGAGGATTTTGGGGGATTTCGGGTCAGATTACATGGCAAAGCATAACTTTATTGAGGTTGGCCTGGATCCTAGCGTTAGTCCACTCCTCCCGCCATCCTTAACCCTCTAATGCCCGGCGCGTGGCATTGTCAGCACAATCGGCGCCAGTTGAAATGGTCGCGTGTAGTCGGTAGTTTGCGGTAACCTCGGATTTTGCCGGCCTTTGTGGCGGCTTGATAGCATATCTTGTTGCGCATTTGTCCATGTACCACGGTCAATGTTCGGCCCCCGGCCAGTGTCACCATGACGTCAGCGTCCTCCTGGGACCCCCCTTCTCGCCGCCACACCCCCTCGCCTTTCGCCCCTCGCCAAGGCCAAACAAACGCTCGTCCAATGTCGCGTGACGCACAAGGATATCGAGTCCTGCGATTGTCGTCGTCGCCATTCTGCCTTAGATGATTTTTCCTAGCTTTCGTTGTTTGCTCTGTCACGTGTTTGCCCAGCCAATTAGAGTTATAGTCCCATAAATATAGAGTAAGGCGGAGAAAGTATGGAAGCTTTGGGAGCTTTCAGGCAGCCAGTTCACAAACCATTTCGGAAAAGGCATCATTGTGGCAGAAATGATACAGGAGCGGTTTAACTTAGAATGAGAAACAGATAAAAAAGTTGTTTTTGTATAGGTTGAGTGCTGTGTAAAACTTAATTCACTTTCACACAAGTATTAATAAGTCCTCAAAAAAAAGTAGAGATAAAAAAAAATAAATTGCGATGAGCAAGAATAAGCTGTAAATATTAAATTAAATAAAAAAGTAAGTAAGTACCCATTCAAACACACTAAAAGACTTTTATAAACTTTACATTGTGATAATGGTA